TTGCAACTAGATTTGTTTTGGTCTCCAAATGTGTATTTTGTTGTAGTGACTATCACCACCATTACCACTACCCTTTCAGTTGCACCATCATCGTCTCCACTATTATCCCACCACCATAACCGCCACCATTATCATAAGCACCAACTCACCCTCACCCTAACGCCATAGTTATTAGCAACCACATAATCACCATCATTATTGTCATTGATGCCACCATTATTGTTGTTGCTGCCATCACCTCACCATTACTGCTACTACCATTTTCACCTCTACTCTACCACCACCATTGCGACATTAACGCTACCACTGTTGCCGTCATCACCACTACTACCTTTGCTCTCTACATCACAACTACCACCATCGCCACCACACTACTACCAATTGTCACATCACTACCAACGCAACACCAAAATATAAAGAATGAAAGAGAAAATTTTAAAAATTAATTTTTTTTAATTTTTTTTTAACTTATTGTACAATATCCACAACTTGATTCAATTGAACATTTAAATATTAATACATACCCAACAATTTTTAGGTTAAAAAAAATTCGATATTTAAATTTTTTTTTTTTTAGCTCAAAAGTTAGAATTTAAACTAATAACAAACCAGGTCTTAATTTTATTATCTGTTTTGGGTGTGTTTGATTGAACGGACTGGAATCCATCGGACTTGAATCCTAAGATTGTGAATCCCCCGGACTATGTGGTTGGATTGGATATCTATCCTGTGTTTGTTTTCTCATGGAATTAGATGTCTAGAAATGATTATTTTTACTAAATCCAATGTTTGGTTGAACGGACTGGATAGAATAAATGAGCAAAAGACTATTTTACCATTTTTCAATTATTTACTAAGTAATAGCAATATAAACATATCTTTAATATTTTAATTATTTTTAGCTAGATTAAAAAAAAATTACACAATTAAATAAATTTATTTTTTAAAAATTAAATAAATAAAATATCAATAAAAACATATGTTATTTTTTTAATTAAAATTTTAAATAAATTTGTTTTTAAAAATAATAATAATTAAACAATGAAATTAAATAAAACATCTGTTACCCAAAAAGCAACCTAAGAGGGGGTGAATTAGGTTTCTACAAATTAAAATTAATAATACCCCAATAAAATTAACTACTAGTACAACAAATTATTAACAAGCACAATGATGAACTAAGCAGTAAATGATCAAGCAAAATAACAATGAAGTATAACTAATATACAGGGTAAATCAAATGATTAACATATGAATATTAAATAATTATAACAGTAGTAGGAAAGTAAAGAGATTAGGGAAAAGGAGACAAACAGATTTATAGTGGTTCGGTTTCAATCAAGCTTACATCCGCTCCTCAAGCTTCACTTGAGATTTTCCACTGTCTTCTAGCTTCACAAGGGTGCTAGAAACCTCTTTACAAATGGAGCAATCCTCCACAGATTTTACACAAACTTGTTATAGCGATCCCGGATTTACCCTTGTTGTAAAGTGATCCGGACATGTGTCCGTGGATGTTGGTAGTTGATTATTATCTTGTTTACATCCTTTTACTTCGTATTTGAGTTATAGGATGTGTTTTTATTAGTTATATTAACCCAAGTTATGTTTTATAAATATTTCAGTTACGTGGATTAATTTCTGAACTCTATTTGTTTAAAATGAAATCCATTGATATGTTTGTTTAAATTTTAAAAAATATTTGACTATAACCTTATAAACAATTATATTTTGTAAGTACCACCATGGGAGTCCTACGCCTTGGGGGACTTAAATAACCATCGACTTCTGTTTGGTCACTTTGTGGCCCTCTATTATCATGGATCTATTGACCTTTGTTCTGTGTAGAACAAAGTGCTGTACAGAGATAAGTGCTACACTATTGTGGGAGCCACATCTATAATCCATACGAACCAGCTCTTAAATTCGTACCTCTGTTCTGACTGTCACCCCTGTGACCTCTGTTCTGTTTTGTTCGGTACCGTGATTATGGTTATTTATTTACATAATCTCAGTTTTGCAACTTAAAGAATTCTTTGTTCAGACTAAGTTATCTTAAATATTTTAGTTACATAACTATCCGTGGTTATTTTGTATCTCTTATACTCTTGGCATAATATTTCTCACTCTGTCGTGTGCTTATAGCTATTTACCAATTTTCAGGAAACAATGCAATTCAGAAATAGTTTTTGGAAAGTCTTAGACGCAGGGCTGAGGAATAAACACACACATCACTTTTATGATATTTTTATATGTAAATATCGACTTTTTTGGTCAATAAATTGTGTTATAAAAATAGAAACTTCAATGATTATTTTGGTACCCTCACTTAAATATTATTTCCGCTCACGTTTATTAATTTGTTTAAGAATTGGCCGGAGGTAACCTCAGTTACTGGCTATCACGATACTTAACTTTTGGGTACGGGGAGCGGGTCGTGACAGTTTGCTAGTACTAAATTCACTCTAAGGTCATGTTTGCTTGAACAGTCTGAATAAGGAGGGGTTATAATCTATTGAACTATTAATTTTAGGATACATAATCCCTAGACTATTTGGTTGGAAAGAATGTGTATCCTATACATTTTTTCATGGGATTAGATGTTTGAAAATGATTATCCTATTGAATTCAATGTTTGATTGGAATATTATAAAGAATGATAAATGCTCAAAAATCTATTTTACCATTTTCAATTATTTACTAAGTAATAGCAATATTAAACCCGTCTTTAATATTGAGTTCTTTTTGGATATATTAAATAAAATTTTATTTTTTAAAAAATTAAATAAATTTATTTTTTAAAAATTAAATAAATAAAATATCAATAAAAATTTGTGTTATTTTTTAAAATAAAATTTTAAATAATGAAATTAAATAAAACATCAATAAAATTTTAAAATAAAACATCTATACAAATTTATTTTAAACAATTAAATAAATAAAACTTCAATAAAAATTAAATTATTTTATTTTATTTTAAATTGAGACATTTAAATTTTATTTAATTTTATTAAATATAATACATAATTAAATCAAATATTTAAAGGGCAAATATGTCATTTTATCATTTAATCCCATGGGATAGTTATCCCACCAATTTTATCCCATACCCTCTCTAGGATACAATAGCCCCACATATGTGGGATTGATAGTCCAACTGGATTCCTAATCCAACTTACAAATTTGTAACCAAATAATGGACTCCATGATCCAATGGACATGGTGTCCAATCCCCTCTCCAATCTCTCCAAACAAACACAGCCTAAGGCCCCGTTTGTTTTGGGGTGTAATGGATGGGAGGGTATTGGATGGAGGTGTGGTTATTTAGTGTTGTGTTTGTTTGTAGATTTGGGGAAGGGATTAGGATGGAGGAAGGGATTAAGATGGAGGTTAGAAGGGGGATTGAGATGAAGGAGGTAGAGATGGTATTAGAAAAATAGTGAGGGGATTAGAAATTATTTATTTATTTTTTACATATTCGGAATTTTTTTTTAAACATTAATGTTTAATTTTTTATATTTTTTTATTTGTTTTATTATTTTATATAAAAATAATTTAGCAATTTCTACAGTAACAACTATCATCAAAACAAACACAATTTTACTTAATCCCCTCACTGTTAATCCTCTCACTATGAATTCCCTCCATTCTATCTCTTAAAACAAATAGAGCCTAAGAATTGACTTATCTTTAATTGGAGTCAAGTACAGTTCAATCCAGTTAAACTTGCATCCTAATTTAATGATATAAATTGTTTATTTTGTAAAAAATTATTGTACATGCTACGATGAATTGTTTATTTTGAAAATAACCATCTAATTTTTAAAGATAAATTAATGAAATTATACAATTACCATTATCAAACCAAATGTTTTTATTATTATTATTATTATTATTTATTTTACAAACGACCCATTTTGAGGCCAATGGACCCAACTAGACCGAACCCAAAAGGGCCTAAAAACCCTACAAGATAAGAGCCTGACGACTGGGCCATCTGCAACGCTTTAGAAAGATTTTACATATTATACATTTTTATGATAAATATCATATAATTTTTAATAAAATTACTATAATATATGATTAAAAGATAAAAATATACATTTTGTAGTAATATTTAGTATTTTTTGTGTAAAATTATATATTTTGTGATTTTTGAATTAAAATTAAGGTAACAATACTATAAAAATAGGTAACATCAATACTCATTTGAGAGAGAATAATTTAATGGGCGGAATTTTGTGTGCCCCTAGCATTATTGGTATAAAAATGTGATAATCGTAACATTAATTTGTAATTGCACGAGGATGGAGAGAGACATAGTGTGAGAAAGATTTTTAAATAATTAAAAATCTTTAAACTATTAGCGAATATTATTTAGGCTATGTTTGGTATAAATTTTTTGGGATAAAATATCTACAAAAAGACAAAATAGATTAAAAAGTTAATCAAACAAAATGCCACCTCCAAACCATAGCCATTTCATTTTTTCTCTCACTAAAGTCAAAAAAATAAAAAAAACTCATTTCAAACAAGCCATTTTAGCCCCAGACAAATAGCTAAAAAGTCAAAAAACTAACTCATATCCCATACGAAGGCTTATATAAGCCCATATATTTTGATTCTCTCAACTCTGTATGAGATATTTGAATGACCTTTATAGTTGAAAAAAATCAAAATATACAAGTTCATAAATAAAAGATGTACAATAATATTCATTAATAATTGAAAATGTCTAAATATAAATCACAATATTTATTTGATGATCGATAAACTGGAAAAAGGATTTATTATATTTTTGGTCATTCATGTTTAAATTGTGTTAATTATGTCCCTTAATATTAAATTGTATCAATCTGATTCCTGATGGGATTAAATTAAAGAACATAATTTAAACATTGAGGATCAAAATAATTCAACAATCATACTTTGAAAACCAAAAATATAATTAATCTCAAAAAATAAATAAATAAATAAAGATAAAGATAAGAAGGAGAAGATGAACAAAACAACCACTATTGTCAAATTAAGGAACAATAGAATTAAAAACCAAAAGAAACAACAGTCACCAAGAATTATCTCAAAACAGGTCACTCACCCCCTATAGAAAACCATTGTCCAATCATGTCACAACTTTGACAGTATACTTAGATTTTGATCCATAACAAATTTAAAAACTCAGAATTATAATAAAATCAATCATCCCATGTAAAATCACTTCTCTTCCTTTGTTATGGTCTCTGTTTCCTTCTCCACAGTGGTTACATGTGCAACTGGTGCTACATAGGTTGCTGCCTTCTCCTCCGATGCCACAGGAACTACCTCGGGCTTTTGTTCATCTGATTTTACTGTCTCTAGTGCAGCGGTTTCAGCTACGGTGGTCTTCTCTGTTTCTGGTGTTTCTTCTATGGTGATCTTCTCTGTTTCTGGTGGTGACACCTTCGCTTCTACGCTCTGTCATTACATCCCAAAATGAGCATGAGATTTTTTGTCAAATTTTTCTCTACATTGATCATTGAATTATTGTTTAAGATTCTCACATAAGTTAATGATTATTAGGAAATTATAGAATTGGAGAATAAGAGCTATTTTGGAAAGATATAATCAGTTTTTTGGTCAAAAACTGCTTATAAGCAGCTTTTTTACGCTTCCCGGATTACAACCCACTTTCCAAAATAAGCCTCGGAGAGAAAAATGATCTTTGGTCATGTTGGCACGTGACTAACATGACAAGTCTCACATTCGAACATGGGTTAGGCTATTTGTACAATGTACAAGCTGGCCCAGAATATAAAACAAAAATTTAATAATGTGCCACCAGTTTAGCATCACCATTTTATGTTATACATCTACTTCAATACTTGTAAATGGTTTCTTGTTTAAAATAAATTAGATAAGGAATTTATATTTTAAAAAAAAAATTGGATCATGCAAGAGATGAAATAAAAAAATTAATAAAAACCATTCATATATAGCATTTCGTAAATTTAAAACCAGAATATAAATGAATCTTTTTTTTTATTTTATGTAAACAAAAATGCCAGTGACCCTAAAATAATCGCCAAATTAGTATTGTGTAGAATATTTGATAATTTATTTAATACTCCTAACATTTTTTTTATTTTGTGTATACAAAAAAAAAAAAAAAAAAAAAGTTAAATGTTGAAAAAAGTCAGGCCTTGAGTTGGGCCTATTTAAAAATTAAGGTTAGTCAAGCCTTAACCTAGCCCATGAGTCAATCACCCAACCCATTATTAAACTCTCCCCTGGGGCCCGTGGCCTAGTCTATTGGCCCGCTTAAGACCCGTTTAAGGCCCGGCCCGTCCAAGGCCTAATGTCTTTTTTTTAGTAAAAAATAATAAAATTTTAGTAGAAAAAATTTAAAAAAAAAAAAAATGGTCAGGCCTATCCAAGCCTATTGGGCCATCCCGAGAACCCCTGAGTCTAGGCCTATTTTTTGGCCTGTGGGCTAACCCAGCTCGATCCAAATTTTGGCGGGAGCCTGCAAGGCCTAACATGGACCGGGCTGGACCGGGTTAGATTTACACCCCTACCCCCTCTCCCTCTCTCTCCATAATGATTTAACAATCATAAACATTTTGAAACAAAATGACATGAGAATTTTGGAACAAAAATTATGCAATCTGCATTCTCAATTAAGTCGACAATAATATCTAATGAATATTAATCCTTCTAAAAAAATTAATATATTTTGAATGCGCGGTTATGGAAAAACACAACGAGAGAAACCTAAAAATTGTATTGAAGTACAAGCTGAGAATTGAATCTGTTTGTAATCAATATGTTAAAATAGGGAAAAATAATAATAAAAAAAAAATTTCTTCTAAAAAAAATAAACAATTAAGAAACATGAGTAGCCAACATTATGTGTAACTTTAAAATGTCCTTATCACACTATTATATGACTAGGAATTTTTGTATAAAAATTGTCTCATTATAACTTTCCATGCGAATGGATTATTTCTTACCAAACATTTATTTTTATTTTCAAAATCTTTGAAAACAAAAACATTACTAAACAAGATCTAATAAGTTTTATTTTTTATGTTTTATTTTTTGAAAAATTAAATATGCCTAGTTATTAGAGCTTTACCTCGTTGAGCAAAGATCCAAGAGATTGGTGCTTGTCAGCCTCATCACCCTCCTGACCATCCTCATTCTTCTCATCATCCCCAACCTTAACCTTCTCATCACCACCACCATCCACCTTCTTTTTTTCTCCTTCCACCACAACAACATCCTTTTCCGCCACCTCGGTGGTGGTGATCACCTCCTTTTGTGGCTCCGGTGGTGGCGCCGCATCGCCTCTCATGGCCTTGGAGACACTAGCACAGGCTCCCATCTCTTAATGATCTTCACAACAAGAACTCTTTTTTTCTAAATATTTTTCTCTCTTTCTCTCTCTATGTAGTGAGAGAAAGATGGGGGAAGAAAGCAATGATAATGGGAGACTTTGGGGTGTGAATATGTGGGGTTTTATATATTTGGGTTTGCTGGCTGTTCCGACATTCTCTCAATGGTTGAGAAAAATATAAGGAATGCAATGGTTGGCTGGCACTAGCCCTACACACAATTTTTAAAATTTTTAAAATCAAAAAAACTTCACAGTTGGAAGATTGACAATCACAGGCTGTAATCTTTATTAATCAACCATTTCTTTCTTTGTCAATGGAAAGGTACGAACCAATTTTAAAATGGAAAATCAGTTTCCCATCCATCATTCTTAAAACTTGTGTATGGATTATTATATTGCATTAAGTATTTGTTTGGAAACAAGTTATTTTAATAATTTTTTGATTTTTTAACTAAAATATGAGGTAAAAAAAATTAGTATGTTTAAAATAATTTTTTAATTTTTTATAAAAAGATGTGCAAAAAGTAGAGAGAAAATATAATTTTTGATTTTTTAGTATGAGTTATAAATTTTTTAATTTTTTTAATAACTTTTTGATTTTTAAACTAAAACAAACACTTATCAAACGAGGCTTTTTAAGTATATAAAGGGCTAAATACAGAATGAGACATAGATTTTTCACAAAGAGTTTAGTCTACCCGATGTAGGACTTATATACCGGATCTATTCTTTGTGAGACATGTATGTCGGTATTTGTGTTTGTCGGTATTTGTGTTTCTAATATTGTTAAAAATTTACATGTGGAACTCATGTTTTGTAAGACATATGTGTCATATTTTGTATATATTTAGTATCCATATCTCTTTCTGAATTTGATATATATGTTTCTAGCATTGATGAGGACTTATACATAAAACCTATCTTTTGTGAGATATCTATTCCCTCAACATATGAAACCCGTTATATATTAATTAAACATTTTATCAAAACTTTCCAATTTCGGACATCTCATATGCCATAAAGGGTTCCACTATTGTTTAAACAAAAATGGTATTGTTAGAGAATTTTGGTACATAATTTATAATAAGAATGATGTGATAATGGAAAGTGTTTTAGTACAAATGAAGGGATCAAAAGGCACAACATAATTCTATATATAAATTATATTTATATATCATTACTCTTCTTCTTCTTCTTCTTAATAGGATAAATTATACTTTGTAACCTTTATTTTTATCCACTTTTTCACTTTAACCTTTAAAATTTATTTTTTCTCATTTTGACCCTTCATATGTTAAGTTTTTTCAATTTACTCTTAAAACTAATTTCTATTAAAAATTAGACAAAAAATGACACATTAACAGTTATTTGACATAAAAATACTTTATTATATATCTCACATCTCTAACATAAATTTAAACTCTAATATAATAATATTTTTTTATGTTATGTGATAGTTATTATAGCATTTTTTTGTCTAATTCTGAATAGAAATTAACTTTACGAGTAAATTGAGAAAAATTTAAAATATGAACGATCAAAGTAAGAAAAAAAATAAATTTTAAAGACTAAACTAGAAAAATGGTCAAATATAATTTACATTTATAAAGAGGGCAAAGTATAAATATGATGGACCTCACACATATATATGTGATAAAAAAAACATTTCTCTGAATTTATAGAGAAATTAATTGAGGGAAAATAAGATAATAAAGAAATACATTTAAATTTTTTATTTTTTTACTTCGTTTCATAAATTTATAACTCAAAGATAATCTGACAACTAAAAACACATCATGCTTGCTGTGCAATTCATACCGCCGTAAACGGTTTTCTTATTTAAAATAGAAAATTAGAGCAATTATAACATTATTCTTTATTTTTCATTAGTTAAAGTATAAATATATATATATATATATTTTTTATTTAGTTTAATTATTTTTTCATTTATGTTTTCCAACTGCCCTTTTTATTTTACTTATCTATCAACGCAAACTATTTAAAAAACTTCACAAGGCTCTCTAAATGTAACTAGCTAAAATAATTTTGTTAAAAAAACTATTATAGTAGATAGATAGCATGTTAAAGAGACGGATATAGAATGAGATTAACTATGGTGGTGTTTGTTTTGAGGGATTAAAGAATGGGATTGGATTCAATTTAAAATTTTTACACCAGACTATTAGTCCTAAATTCATTGGACTATTGTGTCCTATGGGGGGGGGATGGGACACAAATGGAGGAATAAGGGAGATATGGGATTAGGTGGTGAAATGATCAGTTTGACACTCTACTATTTAATTATGTATTATATTTTGTAAAATTTAATAAAATTTAAATGTCTCAATTTAAAAATAAAATAAATTTATTTCATTTATTGATTTTTTAAATTAATTTTTTATTGATGTTTTATTTTAAAATTTTGTTTATATTTTATTTAATTTCATTATTTAAATTTTAATAGATGTTTTATTTAATTTTATTATTTTATTATTATTATTTTTTAAGATAAATTTATTTAAAATTTTAATTAAAAAAATAGCATATATTTTTATTGATATTTTTTTTATTTTATTTTTTAAAAAAATTATTTAATTGTGTAAAAAATAAAATAAAATAAATTTTTATTTATTCTAGTTAAAAGTAATTAAAATATTAAAGATATTTTTAATATTTCTATTACTTAGTCAATAATTGAAATGGGTAAATAGTTATTTAAACATTTATCATTCTCCATAATATTCCAAACAAATATAAGATTCATACATATCCAATCAAATAGTCTTTTCTTAACATTTAATCCCATGACTAAACAAACATGAGATACAAATCCAATCCAATCAAATTATCTGGGGACAATGTATCCTAGGAGTAAGGTGAATTCTAATCCCCCTTATTCAATCCGTCCAAACAAACTCACCCTATAATAACTAATAAATCTATTTCAAAGAGCTCATTATTGTCTTTTCACAATTATTAATCATGAAATGAACATCTTCGTGAAATAAAATATGTGCAATTAGTCTCCATTTGACGGAATTCGAAATAATAAAAAAAAATGAAAAAAAAAAAAGTACAGATCAACATTTTGATATAATATGGCATCTTTATTTCATTCATATAATTAAAAAAATATATATTTAATTTATTTATTATGCATTTAGTCTCCATTTGATGGAATTCGGAAATATATATATATAGATCAATATTTTGATATAAAATAACATCTTTATTTCATTTATATAATTAAAAAATATATATTTGATTTATTTATTAATTTATTTATGAAAAAAGTACTCAATATATCTTGTAAAAGTCAAACAACCATACGCTAAAAAAAAATTTATTTGATTTATTTATAAAAAAAAATACTCAATAAATTTTGTAAAAGTCAAACAACCATACGCTCGAAAAAACTAGTGTAGTTTTCAACAAGTCCAATGAATTAGTCTAGTCACCTTGAAAAATAAAAAATGAAAAAATAAACAACTTAGAGCATCTCCAACGGTTACTCATATTTTTCACCAAATTTGAGTCAAAAATGACTCATTTTACCAATTTGATACCATTCACTCCAACGGTGCACTTTCATCAAATTTGTGCCAGGGACAACCGGTTGGTCGACCGGCCGGTCGACCGGTTGGTCAACCGGTTAAGCAAAATTTTTTTTTTTGATTTTTTTTTTTTAACTTTTTGAACCTTTTAGTGGTCGCCCGGCTGGTCGCCCGGGCATCTCCAACGGTTACTCAGATTTTTCACCAAATTTGAGTCAAAAATGACTCATTTTACCAATTTGATACCATTCACTCCAATGGTGCACTTTCATCAAATTTGTGCCAGGGACAACCGGTTGGTCGACCGGTTAAGCGAAAAAAAAATTTTTTTTTTTTTTTTCTTTTTGAACCTTTTAGTGGTCGACCGGCTGGTCGACCGGTTAGGCAAAAAAAAATTTTTTTTTTTTTTTTTTACTGTTTGAACCTTTTTCTTCGAACCGTTTGAACCTTTAGGCGGTCAACCGGTTGGTCAACCGGCCGAGCAACCGGCTGGTTGACCGGTTGGTCTCTCCCAACGGTTAGGAACAGTGATTTGGTAAAATGCTTCGCCTGTTCTCATTTTGGTACAAGATTTGCTGAATTCTGGATTTGATATCGATTTGGTGAAACGGTTGGAGCTCAAAAAAGTGACTTTTTCGTCAAATTTTGAATTTGATATCACGTTTGCTGAAGCGTTGGAGATGGTCTTAGCTGAGACAAATCACTAACTTTCTTGTGAACCAAGGGGAAACAGTATTCGGGAAAAAAGTACTACCATGACAAAAATTACTGCATCAAAACAATACAAAAATTAATATGTTTTTTCGATATTTCCAAGGTAACAAATGGACAATCTACTTTAACATTTCTGTCACTTCTCTCGTAACATGTCGACAACGATGAAGTACTACTTACATATATAAGAAACATCGAATTACACTTTTTTAAAACGTTTGTAAAAAAATGTCAGCTGTCTTCCTAGAAGATACTTTGTTCTTTGCGATTAGAGATTTTGAATCTTTTTTACCTGTTTATAAGTCTTATTATTGGTGTTTTTATTTATAATTTTTCTCACTTTAAGAGGGTTTTGTATTTGTTATTATATTTACGGCAGTGGTAGAGGATTCGAATTCGACGCCTCAAATTTGGTTTGAATTTTTATTTTTATTTTTTTAAGAGTGGCTATGTGTTGTGTCAAAAAATTAGATATTTTGTACTAACTCATTAAACAAAATTATATGAAATTAATAAAACTTAATTAACAGTTTAACTGATCAGTCAATTTTATCACTTAATCACTCCAACCTAATTGACTGATCAGTTAGGCTACTAGTTAAAATTTGTTAATTCAATATAATTTTGTACAATGAGTTGGAGATGTCTAATTTTTTGACACATCCCTACACATAATCAACTTTAAAAAAAAAATCAAATCAACACAGCCCAATAAATAAAATAAAATAAAATTTTAAAAAAATAACAAACCAACATAGCCCCACAAATAGAAAAAATAAATAAATAAATAACTCAATCTATGTGGTTTGATAAGGTGAGTGAGTTCACCTTATTAAACCATACATGCTGAGTTAGTGCATGATGTCTAGTTTTTTAGCATACTTCTACACATAATTACTTTTGCAAAAAGAAAAGAAAATAGAGAAAAAAAAATTTAAAAAGAAAAGAAAAAAGAAGTCAAAATAACACAACCACAACCAAACAAAAAAAAAAAAAAAAAAAAAAAAGGAATCCAAGGCGAATTTGAGTCCTCAAGCATTATTGTTATATTTATTAGTATATGTTTTATATATAACATTTTATATTAATTAATTTTAAAAAATTTGTCAAATATGAAGGTTTCAGTCTAAATTTAGATAAAGATGTCAAAATTGTTGAGCTAATATACATGTTATATGTTAAAAAAGTGACAACAACGAGTCGCATTTTGCCTGTTAAGATTTGTTAATCTGAGGAGTGAGCTAGTGTTGCAAGGGAGATGTTCTAAGGTCTCACTTGGGAAGACTAGTTTTTAATTAAAAAAATTACTATATAAAAAAGTTAACTTATTTTTTCTTTTCTTTTTTTTACATGGTTTTTCATAAAATAAAAAAATCAAACAACGAGCCTAAGGTCTCGTTTGGCTTATTTTTGTCTTTATTGATTTATTTTTGAAATTTTTCAAAAAAAAATATACTTTTTAAATTCGTCTTGACAAGACAGGTTGGAAAAGTAAAAAAAAAATTGGGTTCGTTTGGTTTGAATTTCCCAAAAAATTTTGGGAAAATTTCTCTACAAATGAGTTTTCAGAAAAACTCAAACCAAACAAATTTTCTCAAAAAAATTTCCCAAAACTTGTAAACCAAACAAGTTTTCCAAACAAATATCTCTCTCATACACATCAAATCAATCACTTTTTCCAAAACTCTCTCTCAAAATAATTTTCCAAAACATCTTTCCAAAAAAACCAAACCAAACAACTTTTCGTACTTTTTATCTCCCAAACTCATCTCCCAAAATCAAACCAAACAAGCCCAAAAAATTTGAAAAAAGATGAGACTTTTTTTTTTTTGATTGCGAAGGTAGGTTCTTGTTTTTTTTCCAGAGGCTAAAGATTCTTTAATCCAATTCGAGAGGCCTCAAGACTAGAGCCTCCAAAAACGGAAAAAATAGCTTTTAACCCTAAAAGCCCTCGGTAGGTATAGGGTAATACCTATGCATAACTCAAAAAAAATATTTTTGGATTCATACATGGTGATAAAATACAATACTCCCTCCGTCCCAAAATATTAGTCCCTTATTTTATTTTTCATTGTCCCAAAATATTAGTCCCTCTTTATAAATCAAGTACAAAAATAATGTAAATTTCCTATTTTGTCCTTCTTTTTAATTAATAAACAATTTAAAAAGTACAATTATGACATTGATATTCTCAAAAAATGTACTATCAAATTTTGGAAAACCAACTTTTTTCAAATGCAATAAGTGTACTACCAAAAAAAGTTGGATTCCCCAAAAGGGACCAATATTTTGGGACGGAGGGAGTATAACATTTGTAGAGACATTACTTACGGTAAAATCATAGCAACGCGGTGTGGAAGTAGGGCTGCAAATGAACCGAACTGTTCATGAACAAACTCGGCTCGGCTCGTTAAGGGCTCGGCTTGTTAAGGGCTCGTTTAAGCATAAGCTCGGCTCGTTTAAGCATAAGTTCGACTCGTTTATCTTTATTTAAATTATATAATAAATATATTATTTATATATTAAAAATATAAATATATATAAAAATAATAATATAAATACATTTTTTATATATTAAATAATATAAATAATACTAAAAAAAAATTATCGAGCCGAGCTCGAGTTTCATTAAAATTAACGAGCCGAGTCAAGCTCGAACCCAGTTTCTTATCGAGCCAAGCTCGAGCTCAATAAACGAACTCGATAAGTAAACGAACCGAGCTCGAACTCAGCAAAACTCGACTAAGCTCGGTTAGTTTGCAACCCTATGTGGAAGTGCGGAAAGGAAGTGTGGATAGGCTTTTCAGGGAGTTTCTGAAAAACACATATCAGCTTCAACTCACAGAAAATTGGAAAAATCAATAACACTGAGCGACTACTAAAACAAAATTGTCTGCAGCCACATTTAAGAAAACAAAATTTGGCAATTAGACAAGGACATGAATGAAAGGTGGCTCATAACCTATGGAATGTATGTATTATTATTCCCCTTGTTTTTAGGTGCAAAACACATTAGGTGTATTCATTACAGACTCGCACGTAAAGGAATTCCCATATGCGACGCATCAAATTTGGATCGGTAAAGATTGAAATGAATTTATCATATTCCACAAAATCAAGGATATCTGTGCCATGGGAAAAGCTCGGATTGTCAAAGCAAATTAAACATGAAAACAAATAGTTCACCGCAATTAAGGGAGCAAATCACTGCAAGAATATATGATAAATGACATCATAAATCTCCAAATTATCCTCAGTTGTGCGTTCATCATTTAATTCTTCCACCTAATCTAAAGTTTCAATATTAATAAGAGAAAAAAAAAAATTTAATTCCCAAGTAGCACTAAACGAAGCCTGAGAGAGATCCAAGGAAAGTTTTTTAAACTACAATACAATTTCATGCGTCTTCTAAAAGAACTCTTCAAAAAGAGCCTTGGTACTTGCATAATTGGGAAAGAAGAAACCTAAAACAATTACTCTACATTCATATTTAATTTCCATGACATGAACCGGCAAACCCATCATCTAAGCTAAGAGATATCCCAAAGAAGATAAGATTGCTACACATCCATAGACATATATGCCAAAAAGTGAGCATCAACGTTATATATGCATCTCAAGAAAAACAATTTGACACCTTTTTTAATGCTACAAACAAAATAAATCTATTCAAATGCTTTTGGAAAATAGAAACGAAAGATTTTCACAATCATTTATGGAAAACACTAATGACATTTATGGAAAACACTAATGACTTCCCTTCAGCCTATCAATGACATTCGTAAATGTGTAAAAAGTATATCGTAATAAGTAGAAAATCCATTAAAATATGTTTAAAATGTTTGAGATGTGTAAAATGTGTATTGAGATTCAAACTTTTTTGTTATTTTTTGTCTGTCATTAGCGTAACTTTTTTGTCGTATTCTACCCAATTTGTGCTTATGACCCGTTGGCGACCCGTACAACCCAATTAATGGGCAAATAGCAAGGTCTCCTCGTATTAATAGACAAATAGTTATGTCCAATTCAGTTCCTGTTGTATTCAGATCTTAGTATATATTATGGGTTATTTCTAAATTTAGGGTTACATGAGCACAGAGAAACTCGTTACCGATGGCTTTTGAGAGAGATTCATTCTTGTGTAATTGCTCTGTTTTACTTTCCCGTTTGCATTTATTCTATCGCAATAACTTGGTTAAGAATTTTCATCGTGATGACTCTCTTAACTACACAGTCTAACCACAAAGTTATCTCGATCTTCTACAGTTTGGCCGGAACCCCAAATGTTAAACAAATCCCAAATAAGATACACAATCTGGTATGTAAGGTACATTCATATAAAGGAAAGCCAAAACTATAACTTATGTGCATTCAATAGGGAGACCACAAACAAGAAACATGATAAACTCCTGCAACAATCTATCAAGACCCAAGGCCATAAAATTAGCCATAGGTAGGAAAACCAAAAGCCCTATGACCTACTGAAGACTATTCACTGCACTGCATACCACAATCCATGTATAAACTAAATTTAGATGTGAAAGCGAAATTTTAGTTGGGCAGCAATGCACCTGCATGGGAATGCACCTGCATGAAAATGCAAAAACATGCATTCAGTTGTAATCAGCACCCATTTCTCTGCGTTTGATTTCTAACGCCAAACGCTCATTTTTAAGCTTCATACGCTCATTTTCCATCCTCATCTTTTCGAGCTCCATGTCTTCTTGCTCATTAACTCTATACCACCTTAACCGCTGCCTTTCCAACTCCAACATCTGGGCCTGAATCTTCAACTTCTGCTCTTCCAACCGCAGCGATCGAGACATCATCCATCGATTCTGAAACCGTTCTTGATTCACATTGGCAAAATTGGTCACGGGATGAGGAACAGGACTCAATAAATTCAAGGCATTACCAGAACCCACAACTTTGTTTTCTTCCTCCTCTCGTTTCTTCCTCTTTGCGGAGACCCCTGGAAAATCAAATTCCCTCCCATTACTGTTACAAATAGCATGACCCTCTTCAGCTTTTCCACTTCGATCATCACTTGCAGAATCTTGATCCTCTTCATCAAGGTCATCAGGTTTGTGGAGCGTTGTCAACTCATAATGCTCAAAATTGTCTTTACTTATAAGAGCTAACTGCAATGATTGCTGAAGAGCCTGATCATGAGGAAGGTACAACCTATTCTTATTGTGATACGAGCACATTTCTTTGTAAAACAATTGTTTTGAGCTTAGAATTTTCCTCACATCATCCTTTGCTTTCTCGGATAGGTCCATTGAGTCCAAAAGTGTCGGGTTTTCAACAACCTGGCCAGAAGTACCTCTCCCGAGTATATCATTCAGTCTCTTATACCTTTTGTTGAGATCATTAAATTTATCCTCACATTGCTGAGGCGAAACATGATAGCCCCTCTCATCCATGACCTTCGAAATAGACTTCCATTTCCCTTTCTTTGGTAAAACTGCTGACATAGAAGTCCTTCCACCGCCATTAAAATCAAATGTAGCCTCGTCTCCTATATAAGAAACAGCAGTTATCAAGAGCTTTACCATTTCATCTGTCCATTTTACACGGTGCCAAGCGAACTCCTTTTTCCCATCAACACCTCGTTCCACGACATTCGAACCATCATCATCACTAGCAGAAATTTTCACCCTCCCAACCTTGTTATCAAAATTGAGAAATGAAACGGGTTGATCAGTTTCTTGCATTTTACTAGCCCTAAGAGGCATAACATTTTTTTCAGGAAGCGACAAAAATCTTTGAAATGAATGCAGGTTTTGGTGTTGGTTTACTTGCATTGATCCTTGTAACCCTAAAAAACTGTAGGAACCACCATCACCACCAGGAATCAAATTACTACTAGCTGATGATTTCCCTTCCATTGTTGCTTTTACACAAATAACCCAAAAACCAAGCCAATGGGAAAGTTCTTCTCAACACAAGTTCAATTCAACCCATCAATGTTTCTCCCAAAAAACTCCTATGAATCAACAATGAACAACAACAACCATTTTCAATTTACTTTCACTATTGAATTAACAAGACAACCAACCAAACACAGTTTTAGTTCTAATTCTTACTACTTTACAGTAATGCTTGTTGCTAAGGTGATACAAACAGAGGATATGAACTACATACAGAGGCTATGAACAATCAATGAATAGAAATCTGTATCATATCTAATATAAATTCATCAAATAAGACCATGTCAAGAAAGCTAGATATGGAGGATTAATTGAAAATCTGGAGAGCTTGATTGAAAAAGAGAAAGAACCCAAATGCAGAATCAAGAAAATAAAGAAAACCCATCAAGGCATCAAAAGGGTTACCTCAAAAAGAATCAAAACCACAAACCCATTTGCTAGATTTTTCGAATGGTACCATGTGGGATGAAGAGGGAAGGAGTAACAGTGACACTGATTTATTCAAAGTACCCTTGAAGCCCTTGGAAAAATTGGGGCCGACCCGGAATTAATAGATGCCTCTCTGTGATCTATCGAACCGCACATGGGCCGCCACGTTTTTGAAAGGGATGATGAGGATTCCTCGGGTCCACTCTTTCTACCGGTGGGTCTAGTTTTGGTGTAATTAATAAGGATAAAATCGGTCTGGTTGGATCTGATTTTAGGGTGATTATTCAATACCCTCAGGTCATGTTTGTTTGGGTGAATATGAGCTTGGGATTGAATTAATAGTTCAATAAAATTATTAATTCAATGTTTGGTTAAACAATTGAAGTACGGACTAATTATTTTAAACTTGATTATTAGTTAAGATAGGATGCATAATCCAACGAATTCGTAGTCCTAGGACTATTAGTCATGGGAATGCTAATCCAGTCTGCCCAAACAAACATGGCCTAGTATGGACACGTGGTACTTCATAAGGTTTTGATTGGTAGAAAGACACAAGGGTCCATGATTTATGTTGGGGATGGGGGAACAAGAGCTAACTAATTGATAATTGGTTTGGAGTATGGACACGTGATGTTCCGAGAGTATTGAATAATTTCTCCTAATTTTATATGATTATTGGATTGGACTAATAAAATCGATTTTTTTGTATGTACTACACCAAATAGACCAATCAAAACATGAAAATTGCACCGGATCGGTGAATTCAGTTCGGTTCAATTTGGTTGGATGCAATTTACCAGTTTGGCCATTTATTCAAAAAAATAATAATTGCCCTTATTTATTAAAAAAAATCTAGATCAATCTAATAAGTAAAATATGGCATGTTTTTATCCAAAATAACAATATAATTGCACCAAGATTAATTCATTAAAGAGTAATGTTAGAGATTCTAAAAGTTTTATCAATATTTTTATCAAATATTTCACAAAAGTATGGGACCTATACCATGTGTGATTTTACATTCATATGAGACATTTAATAGAAATATTAGTAAAACTTTTGAAATCTCTAACATTTTTCTTCATGAAATAGCAAATTCAGCAACAGTAAGAAGTAATGTTTGTATATTATTTGAATGTTTAGTAAATTTGGTTCGGATCGATTTCAATAAGAGGGCCTAACATTTATATGAACTTAAAAAAAGAAAATAATAGAGAAATGACATTACATTATTAGATGAGTATACGGTCATGCGATCTTTATGAGTTAAATGATAATTTTTGCTAATTTTGGTATATGGGTTCATTTCAACCTTTTTTTCATTTATTCGAAGTATTTAATTTTTACTATCTTTTGAGTAATTATTTACACAAAAAATTAAATTAATCAGATATTGATAACTACATAAATATAATTATCAATATTCAATTAACCTGATTTTTTGCATGCATAATCTAGTTAACAGAAAAATTATTAAAAGGTTCAGTGACACCATGTGTCCCTACTTCCATTAATCACCAAATACCCAGTCTCCCAGGTATTTCCCATACCCCAACATAGTCGTGAGTCTCACATCGTCAATTTGTCACGATATTCTGAAGCACCACCTATCATGTCCCAAAATCATCAAATAATTTTTTTAATTGAAATATTATAAATTAAATTATTCGAATCAACAAAGTAGACACAAGGCGAGCCATAAGTTTGAATTTGACCTTCCAATCCAATAGTGGACTGTATGAAAGTCTCATTGTACTTATCATTACGAGTGTGCTCCTTCTGTACATCTTTGATCAATCTTACATACTTTAAAAAATAAAAAATGAAAAAATAAGAAGAAGAATTGTTATAAATAAATTTTAAAAAGAAATATATTTTTTAAAAATATTAAGTAAATTTTTTTAAACAAGAGAACCAAAACATTTAGGTGAATTTGGATTACAGATTTAGCATCACTCATTTAAATAATGTAAAGATTTAGATTAATTTTTTGTAGATGGTATTTTAATCAGATTTGAAAGCTTTAAATTAGTAGATTTCAAATAACTTAGCGAATATAATAGTCTTAAACCGTTACCTAAATGTCTATCTTGTATAAAGATTTTGGGTTCGTTTGGTTTGTATTTTTGAAAAATTTTTGAGAAATTTTCTCTATAAATAAGTTTTTAAAAGTAATCAAACCAAACAAATTTTTTCAAAAAAATTTCTCAAAACTTGTAAACCAAACAAGTTTTCCAAACAAATCTCTTTCTTACATATATCAAATCAATCACTTTTTCCAAAACTCTCTCTCAAAATAATTTTCCAAAACATCTTTTGAAAAAAACCAAACCAAACAACTTTTCGTACTTTTTATCTCTAAAACACATCTCTCAAACATAAACCAAACATACCCTTTAAATCTTCTATCTTTATTCAAATCATTCACTGTAAAATTATCAAATCAATGGTTAAAGTTAAACTCAAATATCTTCATTTAAAATTTTTCACTCATCCAAATGGAGTTTTGGAAATACCCAGATTAGTGTTTTATCATCCTACAACACAATTCTGTCCCATGAGAGAAATTGGGTACATACCAACATGTCCATGGAAGAAGGGGATGTTATCTTTTACACACACATGTTCATCAGAGGGCCCTTGAGAAGGACACCCCCGATGGGTTTCCAAAGGTTTGGTTTCGTAGGTCCATCGGAGAAGAAGCCCAGACCCATCCTTGGAGTCCAGCCCAGCAATCAGTCTAGTCTAATCCATAGGCCCACCATTTTACTGATATCACACACATGGCCAGTTTTGTTAATTGGAATTGAAACAAGAAGCAATTGGATTTTTTATACACCTTTGTTATACACATCCATTGTTAAGAGAATGAAAAAGATGAAAGTTTCTGAAATTTTCATTAGAGTACATCACGAAAATGGATTGCAACTTCTAGTCCAATGGAACCTTGTAAATCTGTAGAAATATGTATGATCACAAGCCTAAAATCTGAAGATTAATTCAGAGAGTCTAGGATGATTTTTCGCTACGTATGAGCATTTTATGCTTTGGTCTCTTCAGCAGCAGCATAAAGTGCTTCCTTTTCTCTATTTCTTTTATTCTTGTTGTTGTTTTGTACACAACAGAATTAAATCTTTTTAAATACAGTGAAGATTGTCCAACACAATTCACACCAAGTCAGTTGGCATTTTGCTTTTCAAAAGCGAAATCGTTATTAGGATTTTTTTATTTTTTCTTTTTTTATTACCCTTCAAAAGAAACAAAAGTATGTGTACAAATTAAGTTTACTTGTTGCTTTCCGGTAAAGGCTTGGCCTCCTGCTTGCTCCATCAAGTAAGACATGGGCAATACCTCATAGAGAACACTGTTTCATAGAAAACAAATCCGAGTTAGAAACAAATGCAATGTGGTAATGCAGTCTTAATGGAAATAGGGCCTATTTGGTAATGTCTTTTGTTTTCAATTTTTTTGAAAGATGGAAACAAAAACAAGTTGGTTAATCTTAAAGGTGACATACCGCAACTTCCCATTTGGGCTTTTCTTGTCAGCCGGGTACAAGAAGATTCCTCCATAAAGCAAAGTACGGTGAACATCTGCTACCATACTGCATGAAGTTGAGCAATTTACTAAAAACTTTACTAGTCCCATAAAATGAGGAAAGTTTACTAGTTTGATATGGTTCGGGGGGAAAAAGAATGAAAAAAAAAAAAAAAGAATAAGAAATAGCGAAAGGAAAAGGAAAAGAAAAAGAAAAATGAAGAAAAAGTTCCTCATGCGATAGAATTTATTTAAGACTATTATGTTGAGGTCGGGAAACCAAGTAACAAAGACAAGGAGATGTGACACAAGATTGCAATGCTGACATGGTGATAAAACTTGTAATGCCAAAAAACTGCATACCTTCCAATGTATCTTAGGGACTTTGGTGATGAACCATCCTTAGGGAACTTGCTATTTTCAACATACCTGAAATTAAATGAATATAAGAAAATTTATTAGCCTTTTAAAGGTAATAGAAAGATGACAATTGCCAAATTTAGCTACATTTACTTTGTGGTTGGTTCATCCCAATACTGGGCATTTCCTTCATTTGTTGAATAGATCTTTCCTTTCTTTGGAACCTGTTCGTAGATGCAGTAATGATGCATGATTAGAGAACTACATAGTACTAAAGCAGAGTTCATGTGTTCAAATATGATAGCACACAATTTTTACCTTGATATCTGGGTGAGTTAATATAAACTCCCCAATAGATGGATCGAGCGTGAAGCCATTGACGCCATTTCCAGTGCTAAGGACTAGCTACAACACCATTAAACACCATTGCTAAATCGTGTTGTTACAATTGAAAACACGAAAACAATTCAATGCTAAAAGCTTGAGAACAATTAATTAGATGAACAAACAAACCCTAATAAGGTGCTTATTTCACACACCGGTTGTGAGAAAATTACTAGAATAATCAACAAGATGGAGCTTTTCTATCAAAAAAAAATAGAAACCCAAGTTTTTCCACAAACAAAAATTCATGACAAAGTATCTAAAACACAGAGAAGGTAATTATAATTACCATGCAAGAGCTTCCATACATGCAATAACCTGCAGCCAACAAATTCTTTCCGGATTGCAATGCATCGTCAAGAGTTGGATTCTCCTTATCTTTCACCATATAAATCCCAAAGATCTATATCCAATAAAAGAGATTTTAACAGTTTCTAAATAGTATCAATTCAACCAAAATGTGCTTAATCAAAAAATAATAATAAAAATAAATAAAATAAACAAAAATGGCACAAATAGAAGTTAAATAATAATAATATCAGGGCCAAAGCACTAGGGGCCATACAGTTCCAACTGAAACACCACAGTCAATGTTTGAGGAACCATCCAGTGGATCAAAAACAACACAATATCTGCAATAATTGGAACAATTTGAAACAAGACATTAGAAAATTCTTTTTTTCTTTTTCTTTTTAAAACATGGACTGTGGCTGTGTTGTGGTGGAGATGTGGCTGTATGGTGGCGGCTAACTTAAAATAGCTTCAGCAGAAACCTTCCTCGCTTTGATGGCTCCACAAAATAGATCAAAACAATCATCCAACTGAAAAAACATTTAATGGGTAAGTTTTCTTGGGGAAAAGTAGTATGTATGTCAAATTGAATTTGTAATTTCCAAGTAAGAAAAGGAGTACTAGTGTATTATTACCAATGAAAAACATTCAATTTTTGATGATTATGATGATAGGTTTCATTGTATTGAAGAGATTTAGTAAGCCCTAACTCAGGCCTTCTATTATCATCTGGCATAATGCATTCTTTTTTCTATTCTTGAAAGGGAAAAAAAAAAAAATTGAAACTGAAACGATATGGAATTTTTTTTTACGAAAACTATTTCTAATCGTTGTCTTTGGAAAAGCTTTTAAAAAACACTCCGGTAATAGCAAACACTTTCATATTGTTTTTAAAAAATTTCAAAATTTGTTTTCACACAAAAGAAACAAAAAGAAAAAGATATGAAGTTTCTCAACTTTTATTGTTTTTATTCCCAAAAACACGAAGAAAAAAAAATGAAAATATTTCGAAAACAAGTCAATGCAATCAACTGGTTGAACTTTTTTTTCTCAATTGGTTTGTATGGGATTCTATTGGTGTTTGTGAATAACATAGATTCTCATCAGCCCCAACCAATTGGGGCTTTTCTTTGAGCACCAACAAAGCAATTAGTGTAATCCAATCTTAAAGATGATATAGAAAGAAGAAAGCAAATGAAATTAAAAACTCACAGTGCATCCACTGCTTATCAAAGCCTTGACAAAAACATCATTTGACAGTACATCCAATTTCTTCTGTTCTTCACCCTGAAAAATGAAACAGATGTGATCTATCATAGTCATAGATAGACAAAATTGCAATGAAAACACAGAAATGCAAGAAAATGTAAAATTAGCATATTATTGAACAACTTTTGAAAAAAGAAAAACAAAAAACCCACCTGAGTATTTGTCTGTCCTGCAAGTCCAATGAGTTTTGCAAGACCTGCCTGCAAAATGGGTGATTATTGGAAGGCCAAGAAAAAACCCACCTTTAACATTAATTGGTTTCAGGTGAGGTGGTGGAACTCAATCCAACAAGTGTTATCAAAGCAACGTTGTCATGGGTTTAAGTTGCAGAACATCATTGTGAGGGAACAATTGTTGGGTACACAATGTTGCTCCTACAATCACTCGTGCCATGGAGTTGCCACAAGACAAATCACAATGGAGTAAAGTTTATTTTGCCCCAATATATGTATATTCTATTGTATGAAGCACACAACTTGGTGTGTAATTCCATAAGATAATTTTGATTTCTAAAAATAACCACAACAATACTAAATGTTCTCCAAATATTTAGCATTCCTAACACTGTTGTATTCAGTTGCGCACTACTCTCTCCACTTTCACCCATGATCTTCCAGGGCAATTTCAATTGCACACGTTGGTGTGCGCAAGGCTTCTAGTATATGTATACAAACTAAAAATTTATGATATAGTTGGCAAAAGAAAGGAATTAAATGAAAAAGAGGAGAGGGAGAGGGACCTTGGTAACAGCATTGCAGACAAATTTGCAGCCAAGAACAATGTGACTGAGCAAGATTGTGAAGTCGCCGTGAGCTTCAGGGTGCTTCGACTGCTCATTAAGAACATGTCTAGTAATCGTCATTAGGTCTGTCCTCTGTGCTTCGCCTGCGTGATCCATTAATGCCCCCCAAGTTATTAAATTTCTCTTTTTCTTGATGATATATTATTGATCTTCTCAATTATGTAGAAAACAAAAAACAATAACAAAAACACAAACAATAACAAGAAAAAGGAGTATTTAAGTAGTAGTAGTACTACTAGAACTAGTACTAGTGCACTACTGTGCCAATACACATCTCTGTGTTGTATGTATGATTAAATAAGTAAAGGAAAAGAGCATATTAGCATATTAGCACATTCCAAAGGTATGGGTTTCAAAGGAAAAGATTAAAAAGTGGAGTGAATATATTCCACAAATTCAGGGAAAGACAACTTGATCCTATGATTTACTAAGAAATGTTGTGACAGGAGAAAGAGAGAGAAAGGGTTTTGGTTATCTGTTCTTGCCACGTCAAAGTTTATTCAAATGGAAATTTTATAAGAGGGGGAATGGTATCATTAATTTAAAAAAATTCAAATTGAATAGAAATTATATGATTAAAACTTAGTGTTAAAATCCAGTTAATCATATACTTGTGGTACTTTTTTGCTTTTTTCTTCTATTTTTCTTATTTTATTTTAGTAAACTTCTTATTACTTTTTGTCATTTTTTTACTTTTTTAGGTGCTTTCAAACACACTCAATAAAATAGTAGCCTATTTCCTGGACGTTTTTAAGATATTTTTATGCTAAAAATAAATAAATTAAAGGATCAAAATTTAAAAGACAGGGACACAAATTGCAAACAAAAAAAAATGTTTTTTTTTGGAGTGTCTCAAATCAAGCATTGATGATGAGAATATGTTGTTGATATTGCAACATACTTCCCACGCAACATAGATAAGAATATGCCCAAGAGAATTTTTTTTTTTTTTATTTAAATACAAAGGAGTTTAAATTTTGGAAAGGAACAGTCTTGTCAAGGATAAGATTAGTCACATTTGTTTGACTCTATAGAATGGAGAAAATTAAAGGTACGATGAGATTAAGTGAAGAGATTATTAATGTAGTGGTATTAGGTTAGAAATGTAGGATAAAAAGTATTTGTTTGTATACCATCGGATTAGTAATATTATAAATAATATTAATATATAAAATTAATACTTAATTTTTAGTTTTTTTTTAATATTATAATTTTATTTTTTTTGTTCTAAAAAATATAAATTTTGCTTAAAAATCATTTAAAAATTCACTAATCCCCTCACTCACTTTACAATATCAAGGGTGAATTACACCAATAGTTCCTATAATTTGCGATTTTTATCACTTTGATCTCTGACTTTTCAATTGTGATATATTTGACCCTGAATTTTGAGAAGTGTTCCAAATAAAGACAATTGAAGATACTATTGGATTTTTCAAGGGCAAATTCATCAATTTGATAAAATATAAACTAATTTAACAAAAATAAATGTCAAAAATTTATTTTTGAATTTTTTAAAATTATTTCTACCTACTAGAGATAAAATTATATAAAATTGATAAATCTTTTAGACATTTATTTTTTTACCAAATTAATTTTTATTATATATTTGGATGATGGTCATGTAAAATTAATTTTTTAAAATTAATTATGTAAGTTTTATTAATTTTTATCAATTTTACATAATCAGGTATTGTAATTCGACTGCCGTACAAGATTATGCATTCTTCAAGGCTATTAATCCGGCCCAGTATTTGCCATCCAAACATGTTTTTCATGAGTATACCTCACTAACAGCCTAGTCCAATCCAACTCCATAGTCAGCGAAACAAACATGTCCACAAACTACCAGGTGTGATTTGAAATGATCTAAATAAGTATACTTTTTTACTTTTTATAAAATGTGAATTGAATATGGATTGAGTTTGAAGTGATATGATAGAGAAATGATATGACTTAAATAAGATAACGTGACTTAAATAGAATAGTGACTTTTTAATTTTTTAACTTTTTTTAAATTATGACAAATAAAACCTTAATCTAATCCCCCTTCCCAAAAGAACATGACCTTTAGAACTCTAATCTAAGCGTTTTTGCATTAAGAATTTGTGAAGCGCAAGGAAAAAGAAAGGGAGAAACTTTTTTTTCCTTTTCCTTTCTCTTTTCTTTTTCCTTTATAAATTCATTCTCAAATTCTTACCTCAAACACAACCTTAATCTTTTAATAAAATACAAGAAATTTGACAAGATTAACTAACCCTAAATAGACGGAATATGCCTAAGATTTCATATCTTTTTTTAAGGCAAATCAGTTACTCATCATATTAGATCACTTGTTCTTATAGAAATTAAGATGGGAAAAAGAATACCATAAAACCTTTCATCAATTTAGACCCAAAAACTTAAACAAGGATTGGAAAGAAGGAAATCTGAGCAAATTTGAAACAAAAGTCCCACAACTTCGATTTCGACTCTGCAACTTGCAAATATGGTTCAAATTTTCTAAACTGTGCTCTTCTCAAAGAGTAATAGCATGTTAGGAAACACATCGGCAAATACGGTTCAAATGAACAATCAATGACTGAACAAACTAACAAATGTTCATTTAACTGTTTCAGGCAGCCAAAATATTCGATGACCAAATATTGTTTTAGGGCAGGGAGCGAATTTCATTCATCAATCACTCGAAGAAAAAAAAAACTCCGCCCTAGAAACATCACCCACACCACCATCAACCATGATATACATAAACCTTGGTAACCTGATTAAGCACACAATAAAATCAATTCACTACTTATTCTGGTGAAAATCAGTCGGATCTTGGACAAGAGCATATCAATCCCATACCGAAAATACATATCAACAAGAAGAACTTCCAATCCTATATAGGGGAGAAAAAGGAGGATAAAACTTGCCTCATCTCCTATGACAAAGGGCCTAAAAAAGCCATGTCTGAAACATAAGAGACTGTAAAACATGCAAACAGGTTTACTAAGATCCATCTCCAGCCACCCACTGCCAATCATGGGTTGGCCTGTAAGACCTACTTAAAATGCAATTTTTTGGTAGTCCAAATTATAACAATTGCAAGCACCTCTATCAATAACCCAAGCCTCAAAACTAGACCAAACTTAAACTCACATATGACACAAGACAAGCCACACTGGACCTTGCAAGACAAAGACAATGAGGGCCATATCACCAATCACGTATTCACCTAGCTCAAAAGCACTTCCGATGAACAATAGCTGGACCAGATTCGTCATATTCACCCTTGGATATCCACATCTGCAACATGTGAGCATAAGTGAGTGACCCAACCATAATAAGAATTAAGTCTAAAGAATCATTTAACCAATATCACTATGAGATTCTAAAACTTCTTTTCCATACCTTTTTAAGGTATTACATCTCTCTCTCTCACACACACACACACACTGTTGAAGACAGAAATTACCTGCTGGAAGGTGCTGAGAGAAGCTAGGATTGAGCCTCCAATCCAGACACTGTATTTTCTCTCAGGAGGGGCCACCACTTTGATCTTCATGCTGCTAGGAGCCAGGGCAGTGATTTCCTTACTCATCCGGTCAGCAATTCCAGGGAACATAGTTGATCCACCACTAAGCACAATGTTTCCATAGAGATCCTTCCTGATATCGACATCACACTTCATAATAGAGTTGTAAGTGGTTTCATGGATTCCAGCCGCTTCCATTCCAATGAGTGATGGCTGGAAGAGAACTTCTGGGCAGCGGAATCTCTCTGCTCCAATAGTGATCACTTGCCCATCTGGCAATTCATAGCTTTTCTCCACAGAAGAGCTGCTCTTGGCAGTTTCCAACTCCTGCTCATAATCAAGGGCAACATAAGCAAGTTTCTCTTTCATGTCACGGACAATTTCCCGTTCAGCCGTTGTGGTGAAAGTGTACCCTCGCTCAGTGAGGATCTTCATCAATGCATCAGTTAGATCACGACCAGCAAGGTCCAATCGAAGGATCGCATGTGGGAGGGCATAACCTTCATAAATTGGGACTGTATGGCTAACACCATCACCAGAATCCAAGACAATACCTTTTCATATATCCCAAAAATTCAGTTAGTGAGCAAACCATTGTAAGGAGAAGATTACTGAAAGGAGTTAAAATAAATAAATAAATTTAAATAAAAAATAAACTCATACTATCATCATGTTCTTTGGATAAATATTTCCTGTATATGTAGGTAATGTGAAGGCATCATACAAAAGTTTTTCTCAGTACCAGACCCGTTAACCAAAATCATGTACAACCCTAAAATTTACTAAATAATCCCCTAGTTTCTCAACATAGTAAATAGTTCCTAAATTTTTTTCCAATTTTAACAGAATGACACCATAAATTGCACTTTTCTACTTACAGCTCAAAATGATTCCAAAAAAACAACTCCTCATTCGGCTTCAGTATTTTGAAGTTATCACCCGATTTAATAATATGACATGATGCCAAATAGCGCAAAATATAATCCATTCCAAGTAATAAACAAGTGCAATCAAGTTTTTCCATACACCTAACAATGAGTCATAAGAAGAGAAGAAACAATCCAAAAAACAAATAAGCACAAAAATATTAATACAAACCTGTTGTCCGACCACTGGCATAAAGAGACAGAACTGCCTGGATAGCAACATACATGGCAGGCACATTGAAGGTCTCAAACATAATTTGAGTCATCTTCTCCCTATTTGCCTTGGGGTTCAGGGGTGCTTCTGTAAGAAGTACTGGATGCTCTTCAGGGGCAACACGGAGTTCATTATAGAACGTATGATGCCAGATCTTCTCCATGTCATCCCAATTGCTGACAATGCCATGTTCAATTGGGTATTTCAAGGTGAGGATACCTCTTTTTGACTGAGCTTCATCACCAACGTAAGCATCCTTTTGACCCATGCCTACCATGACACCAGTGTGTCGAGGTCGGCCTACAATACTGGGGAACACAGCTCGGGGAGCATCGTCACCTGCAAATCCAGCCTGTAGATGCATGCAGAAGGAAGGCATTGGCATTTTTGTAATGAAAAGAAAAGCAGCAAATGTAATGTAAATGTCAATAGCAACTTCGGTTATGTTGTGCTGTATTACATAGAATTTTCCCATAGACTTTGCAGGGATTTAGGAAGATCTCCCTATCCAATATTTAAAAAACAAACAAAATTATTTGAGAAATCCTGAAATGTCCATTTACATAGAACAGTTGATCAACAATAAAACAAACAGACAACTTTAAATGTAAGAAAACTAACTAACCTTGACCATTCCAGTTCCATTGTCACAGACAAGAGGCTGAATTTCCTCAGCATCGGCCATCTTTTATTCCTTGTACCAAGAAGATGGTGTCATATGAAAGAAACCACCATGAGAAACTAATACATAACATTGTCCAAGTACCATGAGACACTTAAATATCGAGAGTAATAACTAATAAAAATGAAGCCCCAGACATAGAAAATAAATAATGTCCAAAAATCAAGAATAATAACTAACACACATGGTTTGTAACAAAAAGAGCACACTTATACATCAAGGATAACATGGCTCACAACCCATCCCTTTGACTTTAAACCAAAAGTGATCATCATTGTCTCTTTAATTTCAAAAGTGTCTTTACCGGATCAGTTTTGATGGACATAATCAAATCTTCAAAAATAGCACATCTTTACCCCAAAAAAAGTACTATTCACATCGCTGATTTATGCAAAGATATCACTACCAAAACCGATGTAGAAATGATACTTTTGAAATTAACGAGAAAAAAACGATCATTTTATTTCAAAGTTAAAAAGAAGTCAAACGTCAATAGGTATAGAATTATTGTGTAAATCAGTTATACAACATGGATATCATGAGTCATAACCCATTCCTTTTCATCCTTTTTTTTTCCCTTCTTTTCTGTTAAGTGTCTGGTCCTTTCACAGCAAAACAAAAGTAATCACCATTATCACATTACCTTCTAAAGTGCCCTTGTCACATCAATCTTGAATAATGGCACCTTCCAAAAGGGAAGTATTTTTCACCCACTAATTCATGTGGAAAGACCATTACAAGAACTGATAGAGCAAGGACACTTTCGAGTTTAAAACAAAAATGGTGGTCATTTCTTGTTTTAAAATATAGGGCAGAACTGCATACCATGTAGTAGCTACAATTTACAAACTACATGCAAATATTAGTTTTAATGCACTTCTATTCAATCCTAAAATACAAGCACAGAACTGCAAGGAACAAGATTGTGCTTCTAACCATTTCATCAAGATGCTATTTTTTATCTAGAAAATCAAAAAGTTGAACTTGAACTTGAACAACCATATACTAAACAAAGTATTTCAAGGTTCAGGAGCTACATCACAAATCCAACTCCACATGACAAGTATCAAACACTAGATCCTTACCTAATGACCACAATCAAGTAAACCCAATACTGATCTTCAACAAAAAGTTGAAAATATATAGATATATATTATGTTAGCATGAATCAAAATAATATGAATAGAAACTGACATATTACAAGTTGGGAAAAAAAGAAGAATATTTGAATCCAACAGAGGCGCACCCAACCTGTCATAAGATTCCAAGTTTCAAATTCTTTCCCCAGATTTGAAAACTTGAAATTTAAAGAGAAGAACTTTGAATTCTTTATTAGCTGTTAATAGACTTTTCATGTTTTGTTTTTATTTTCTCACTAATTTTCCATAACAGTCTATATAACTTTAGCGCAAAGTAAATTATAATTTTGAGTTAAACCAGATAAATAGACAAAGATCACCATAAAATCTTCTTATCACCAACAAAATTTATAAATAAAAGAAAAAAAGAAGGCTTTATCGATCTTTATCTATCATCAAGGAAAGAAAAAAGAGAGATGGATATGAAAAGGTCAAGGAAAGTGTTAATTTTCCCGAGAATCGAACAGAAATAAAGATATCGAGTACCTCCGGTGAGACAAGGAGTCCGAGGGCTAAGCTCACTGTTTCCCTCTCACTAAAGAGAGGGTTTTTTGCTGGGAATGCTAAAGATGAAGAAGAGCTAGTTGTGGCTGGGTATATATATGGGACGAACATTTTTACTTTATTAATACTATTTAAAATAAAATAAATTTATTATTATTTTTTTTTTTTTTTTTTTTTTTTTTTTTTTTTTTTTTAAGTGCTTTTCTCTTATTTTCCTCACATCAATTATAAAAACTAACATATAAATTAAATTTGATGTGATCTCTAATTAGATGCTAGTAAAAAATAACATATAAATTAGACAAATGCTACTCACATTGCTCAAAAAAACAAATGCTACTCACATCATAAATTCAAATTTAAATTTTTTTTAATCAATTGTCCAAAATTTCATTTTATTTTTATAACAAAAAATATAATAATAATTTAAAATATCATATCACGCTATATATATACCTATTTTTTCACAACACCTATCTACTTGTCTGTTGTTATTATGGAGTGTTCGTGGCCAAACCACCATTGTCAGTCACCATAGCTACCAATGTGTTCAACTATTGATAACTTTAAAATAATTATTTGAAAAGTCCATTTTTATAAATATATATGACATTAAGTTGAAGGACTTTTCTTAAGTGTGCAACTTACACCTTACACTTACGCCTTTCTGTTTGCTGTCCTGTTTTATGTTTACACCATCCACTTACACCTTTTGTGTTGGTTGCATATGGTGTGCAACCTTAAGGGGTTGCACACCATAACAGCACCCTAAGTTGAATTGTTGAATTATTGATTTATATTGATAATAATGGCGTGTAAGAGGGTAATTTATATGAAAATTGGATCGAGCTGGGTAATCCTGTATAAACCAGACCAGGAGGTCACATCCTTTACAACTCCATGAAGACTGTATTGCTACAAGGTCATGCCCTTTGGCCTAAAGAACGCAGGGACAACATTCCAGAGAATGGTCACCAAGATGTTTGAGCCGTTGTTAGGCAGAACAATAGAAACTTACATCGACGATATGGTGGTCAAAAGTAAGGATGAGAACGACCATCTAAGGGACCTAGGTGAGATGTTCCAGATTCTGAAGAGACACAAGTTGCGCCTTAATGCATCTAAGTGCGCGTTTGGTGTAGGATCTGGCAAATTCCTAGACTTCCCGGTGACCAACCGGGGTATAAAGGCAAACCCCTCCCAGATCAAAGCTATTCAGGACCTGGAGAGACCTAACTCAGTAAAAATAGTACAGTATCTCACCGGCATGGCAGCTGCACTCAACCGATTTATTAGCCGGTCGTCAGACAGACTACAACCATTTTTTCTAGCATTGAAAGCCAAGTTCGAGTGGGACGAAGAATACGACCGCGCTCTGAAAAACTTGAAGGAATACATGTCTTCTCCACCACTGTTTGTCACTCTAATACCTGGAAAAGAACTCTTCCTGTACCTGGCGATCTTTTAGCACGCAATTAGCGCAGTATTGGTCCGTGCAGAAAGAATCCAACATCTGTCCATTTATTATGTCAGCAAAACATTGCTGGGCACCGAAACGAGGTACTTGCCACTGGAAAAACTAGCCTTGGCCTTAATGATGGCCTTAAGAAAGTTGTCACACTACTTTCACGCCCACACCATAGTCGTCCTCACAGCTTTCCCATTAAAAGCTTTGTTTGAGAGGGCAAACTTTTCTGGGCGAATCTTGAAGTGGGCAGTAGAGTTGGGACAATTCGACATCAAGTTCCAACCCAGAACCGCGATAAAGGCCCAAGCTTTGGCAGACTTTGTCGCAAAATTTACTCCTGGAAGTCATCGTATCTACCCAGTCGACCTAACTAATGCAACTGAACTAGAGATGGAAGTTCACGTCGGAATAACGCAACCCCTGGTGCAGGATACTCAGTCGGACCCCAAGGCAGACCAGAGTAAAGAGAGCAAGGCAGAAGCGAACCATGCTACACCAAGCCAAGACTCACCAACAAATAAAGACTTGGTTCAATCAGATAGCGAGAGGCAGACAGCAAATATGGACCTTGAAGAAGACACCAGCAACATTCTTGACCCCACAGCATCATCTGATCCCTCCACTTGCTGAAAATTATTCGTTGGAGAGATGTGGAAGCTCCTTGTGGACGGAGCATCCAATCGGCATGGTGCAGGACTTGGCATAGTCCTCATCTCACCAGACGGCCTGGTTGTGGAGCAAGCAGTCAACCTTGGATTCCCAGCATCAAACAACGAAGCAGAATATGAAGCGCTTCTTGCAAGTCTCAAATTAGCATTCTACATGAAGGCCACCGAGCTAATGGTCTACAGCTACTCACAGCTGGTGGTAAACCAAATTTTAGGCAACTACGAGGCAAAGGATGACAGGATGGTTAAGTATCAAGACTTAGTCAGAAAAAAGATTAAGAAATTCGAAGTAGTGAGGATAGAACAGATTGGCAGGGAGGAAAACAGCAGAGCAGACGAACTAGCAGGCTTTACTTCAATGGCAGATACATCCATCCCTCATCCGTTGCTAATTGACTACTTACCAAGACCAAGCACTGAAGACCCCGAAGCAGAAGAGGTATGTTGCGTCGAACTAGGCCCCTCATGGATGGATCTCATCATACTATTCTTAAAAGGCGGTGTCTTACCAGAAGAAAAGAAAGAAACCAATAAAATTAGAACAAAGTCACAGCGATTTTGGCTCTCCCCTTCTATGGCATTGTACAAAAAATCATTCTCAGGACCTTATCTAAAGTGTGTTCACCCCAGCAAAGTGGAAGCATTCTTGTTCGAAACACACGAAGGGATGTGTGGAAGCCACCAAGGAAGAAGATCGTTAGCTTACAGAGCCATTTCGCAAGGATACTGGTGGCCATACATGCAAGCAGACTCGGAGAAGTATGTGAAGAAGTGCGAGAAATGTCAGAAGTTCGCACACCAAATACATCAGCCAGCCAGAGAACTCCTACCATTGACCAGCCCATGGCCCTTTGCAATGTGGGGCTTGAACATAGTAGGACCACTTCCAACAGCACCCGAAAACAGGAAGTTCTTTCTCGCAGCAACAGACTACTTCACAAAGTGGGTGGAAGCAGAAGCATTGTATCAATCAAGGAAAAAGATGTGAAAAAGTTCATCTGGCAGAATATCATTACTCGATTCGGCATACCTAAAGCCCTAATATCAGACAACGGCACTCAGTTTGATGGCAGAATCTTTAGAGGCTTTTATGAAGAATACAAGATAGAGTTCTACAATTCTACACCGGTATATCCCCAAGCCAATGGCCAGGCGGAAGCATCAAACAAGGTCATCTTGGATGGACTGAAGAAAATGTTAGAAAGAGCAAAAGGCAAATGGGCTGAGGAACTTCCTCATGTTTTATGGGCTTACCGCACCACACCTCGACGATCTACAGGAGAAACACCATTCTCCTTAGCCTATGGCATGGAAGCAGTAATCCCGCTGGAAGTTGGCCTCCCTACAATTAGAAGCTAAAATTTTGATCCAGACTTGAATAGAGAAGCCATAGCATTGGAGCTCGACCTCGCCGAAGAAAGAAAAGAAAAAGCACTGGTTCACATTGCCTCATACCAACAAGAGTTATCCAGGAAATACAACAAGACAGTACATCTAAGATAATTCAAAATCGAAGATTGGGTACTGCGCAAAGTAATGGGAAACACCTTGGTCCCAGGAGATGGCAAATTAGGGCCTAATTGGGAAGGACCTTACAAAGTGGTCGGATTAGCAGGAAAAGGTGCTTACCACTTGGAAGACGAAGACAGCAAAGCAATTCCCAAACCATGGAACACTGCCAATCTCAAACTATTTTACTTTTAGCTTTTTCTTTTAAGTATATGTAATTTTTTCCTTTCTCAATAAAATAAGTAGCTTCTTTTTCAGTATAGTTGTTTTCTTCCGTAAGAGATTGTTTTAGTAAGTTAGGGGCATTGAAAGCAAAGTTGGCCGGAATAACCAACTATGCACCCTCCTAAGCCCAAGATAAGGATCCAAGCTGCAGGACGTTCGGTCGAAATAACCAAACACTTTACTTTAGGTTGGCTGGAAAAACCAACACCCTCCTAAGCCCAAGATAAAGATCCAGGCTGCAAGACGTTTGGTCAGAATAACCAAACACTTTACTTTAGGTTGGCTGGAAAAACCAATCTAAAGGTTAGCTGAAAAAACCAACACCCTCCTAAGCCCAGGATAAGGATCCAGGCTGCAGGACGTTTTGTCGGAATAACCAAACACTTTACTTTGGGTTGGCTGGAAAAACCAATCTAGAGGTTGGCTAGATTAAACCAACTCTTAGTACTCTTTAGCCGAAGTAAGGATATCGGCTAAAGAGTGGTTGGTTGGATTAAACAAACTCTTAGTATTCTTCAACCGAGGTAAGGATCTCGGCTAAAGAATGGTTGGCTGGATTAAACCAACTCTTAGTACTCTTCAGCCGAGGTAAGGATCTCGGCTAAAGAGTGGTTGGCTGGACTAAACCAACTCTTGATACTCTTCAGCCGAAGTAAGGACATCGGCTAAAGAGTGGTTGGCTGGATTAAACCAACTTTTAGTACTCTTCAGCCGAGGTAAGTATCTCGGCTAAAGAGTGGTTGGCAGGAATACATGTAGTGGCAATGATTAAGACCAGGATAAAGTATCTCGGCAAGAGAATACTGTACCTTATCCAAGACTTCAGTTAGAAAGTAGAGTACAAGCATAGAGATCAACCGAAATAAGAGTTGGAACAAAAAAGAAGCATTCATTCAAAGTTCACAAGTATAGAAGGATGTTACTTCAGCCTGGTTACAATTGTCCAAAGGTTAAAAAAAAAACAGTACAGAATCAAGCAAAAAGGTCGTCTATTTTCGCGTCAAGTACAACTCGGAGTCCGGTTTCATCTGGTAGCTCGGTCTTATCTGGTATCTCAGTCGTCAGATCTTCAACCGGTGGCTCCAACTCAGTTGACTGAACAATAGGTTCATTACCGACCGGGGCATTATTTAGAACGACCGGAGCATTGTCTGGCTCGATTTCTTCTTCATCATCCTCAGACTGAAGAAACTGTTGCTGAACGGACGCAGCGTACTCCGTCATCGAACCCGGGATAAAATACGGAGGAGGGTTAAAAAGC